TTTTGCATTATTTGATGTTTTGGACCAACCAAAACTGCTGGTGTTTCAACATGGCTTCCTCCTTGCTTAAACATTGGCCCTTTTACCTTTGTACTTTTCTTTTTGGGCAATGCAAACAGCATTGAATTTGTCCAAATAAGCTAGTACCTCCTAACGTGGATTAGACAAAGACAAGACTCCACCGCAGAATTACATCACAGAACAAATGACACCATTTGTGTTAAAACATTCTACACTTGGGTTTCTTTTCCTTGACACCTAAAAAACCATCATTTTGGTCAAGCTCAAAGTAGATTGTAATTTTATGCTTGTAAATGATATCTCAGGCACAAGGGTACTGGATAAAAATAGAAAATAGCATGTGATTTTTAAATTAATACCATATCCCAATACCACTTTTTTACCTTGTTGAACATATTCGAGATCCTGTTTGTGCTTCCAGGAGCTGCACAATATTTATGGAACTGGAATGGAGAAAAGGGGAATGCTTTATTAGAGAAAGTGTTTTCATGAAGCATCCGGGCATGTTGCTGCCGTATTTTTAGCTCAATCTCTGTGAATACTATGTGTGGCTTTACTTACAACTCTGAAAAGTATTTCTTTGCCTTCAACCTTCCTTTCAGCATGGATTTTTTTTCATATGCAAAGATGCAGTCTTAGCAAGAAAAATAGATCTTCGTCAATATTTGCTTATAAAACAGACCTAAGGAAGTAATTGTAAATTTCTACTAGAAATATAGTATAGAACTTGCTAGTATATAGTCCATTTAATAAATTTTCTTTTTCTATGTCCTTGTTATTAACAAAAAGATAATTACTTTTGACTTTGTTCTATGAAAATTTTTCGGGTAGCAACTGTTAGGAAATCCACAAACAGACCAAAGACAGAAGAGCTTGTGCTCATTCCCTGCCTCATGGTGGCTGCATGTAATAGCAGTGTTCGTGACTCTCGCTCTCCAGAGAGCCTCCCTGTATTTTCCTTTTTTCCCTTCGTAGCCTCCCTCTCCCCTCCTCTTCCTTGCTCTTATTCTCGCTCCTCCAAATTAAAACTGTATTGCCATAAAAAAATATAAGGTATATTTGGATGAATAGAGGGGTGGATGGATGGATGGATGGATGGAAGTATGGTAAACCAGTATAATAAGTTGTCAATTTAAGTAGAATCTAGACGGAGGGTATAGAGGCATTCACCGTAAGACTCTTCCAGCTCTGCTATATGCTTGGAAATTGTCACAATGAAATCCTTAGGAGCGATTACCCGTGAAGGGTGGGATGACAGGGGTTTTTACAGTTATTAGAGGAAAATGAAGATAATTCATTTAAAAGCTACATGACACTGTTTTCACCAAGGAAGTCACCAGACTATTGACTTCAATGTCCTTCATGTTTGAAATTTACATTAGTTTCTGGTAAATAATTAAGAATGCAACCAAAGAATCTGCTGCATGATGATGATCACATCATCACAATAGGAAATTAGTTACATAAATTATGGTGTGTATCGTCAGTGGAATACTATACAGTCATTAAAATGTATAGGATAGAAACACTCTGACTTGGAAAGATTTTTATAACACGATGTTTTATATGCTATCTAGAAAATTAAGAATTTATGAATATAGCTGGAAGTGCCCTACATATATACAAAATGTGGCTCAATTATGAGATTATGAATTTTTTCCTCATCTAGATCTTTTTTATCCACATTTTAAATTTTTTCCTTAAAAAACATATTCACAGTGTTTTTTATTAAATTTAATAACATAAGAAAAAAGAAAAACAGAAAAGAGAAGAAAAGAAAAAAGCCATGCTGTTTTTCTGAGAAAATGGAGCAAGGAAACCTTGGTATCTTTAAATAATATTTGATCAAACCAAAAAGATTATCTGGGTTTTCCCTTTTATCTGTATCACTAAAATCTGCTCTCTGACATTTTCTTAATCTTGCTCTTATAAAGAATGTGCTTGAAATATGTAAAAACAAATAATTTCATTCATTCTTCCAAAGATATTTTCGTGGACTTGACTAGTGGTTTTTGCCTAAGGCATTTCATACTTGGAAATGCCCTATCTTTAATCTCTAATTGCATTAAATTTCTATGTCTGACTCATGAGGAAAGGAAGCTTCAAAGCAGAAAAGGGAAAATCTAATTTCTCTCTAAATACAATAACCACTGATTGTATTTCAGACGATGGAACACTGATGTTCCAAGGTTTGCAGGTGTCCTGCCCAGAAGAATGAAGAGTTCAAGGATGTATCAGTTAAATAATAAAAATGTTTTTAATTATTATAGACCTTCCTCTAAGGAGATTTTAGCAGTGTGTTGAAATTAGGTGATCTTTACAGTATGTGTCTGGGGGAGAGAAAAGGAGAAGACGATTGCTGTTACTGTCTGCCACTGACCCAACATTTGTTGAACTCTTTATTTACGACTCTGAACTTAATGTTTCACACTTTTTAGAAGATGTGTTTTTTCCATAGATTTTCTTTCAGGGGCCGTTGAAAGAAAAGTTGGATAGAAATAAAAGTGAAATAAGCAAAAATAGAGTTCATCTCAGAGTTCCAGTTCTCTAGTCGTCTCGTGGTCGGTTATGTGGAATCTGTGATTCATTCCGCTGTGTGTGTGTGTGTGTGTGTTTATGCTCCTCCTCCTCCTCTCCTAGACTGGCAGCCCATTCTAAGTGTGTCTCCTTGGCCCCTGACAATATATAATGTTTCACGTTCTTTATCTCTTGTCTTTCCCAGGCAAAATGTCCATCGACCGAGCTTTGAGGAAGCAGCAACAGTTAAACAACCTCGTTTACGTAGTGACAAATCAGGCCAAGCCTGGTGACAGAATCGTGGATTTCTGCAGCGGTGGGGTATGATATCTCCTCTTTTGTCATTTATAGCCTTTCTGAGACTGTTCCTTTGCTGTATGACATTCAAGGTCCTGTTCTTATTTGGCAAGATTTTCGTCTCAGACTGAGCAAAAGCCACGGGACGAAGGTTAACTTGTTTCTTTCACTGACTTTTCAGGGCCACGTTGGGATCGTCCTCGCTCACATGCTGCCGTCCTGCCAGGTAACACCTGAATAGTAGGTAAAAGGAAACACGGAAACACTCTGCAGTTCAGCCAGCCGAATCTGGGTTGCCCTCGCTCCTTGAGTTTCTGGTCGTTTACCCAAGTCAAACATGGCATAGGCATTTTTGTTTCTTTGAAGTAAACTTCTAAGACTCAGAATCTTAAGGGAAAAATAAATAAAGTAGGACCACAAAGCAGTTACCAATTTTTAAAAAGCCTTGTATGCTTTAATAATTTTAAAAAGAAATAACTATTCCATTTTTATATAAAATAATTATGATTCAACGATTTTAATTTCCAACATAATTTTAAATGGAAATACTGGCTTCTGAAACTTGCTGAGCATGTTCTTTTGGTATCTTATTTTCGATGCACTGCATCAATATTGTAACAATAATAAAATTTTTTAAAGAAAAAAAACAAACCAATAAACCCAAAACCTACCATCCTGATCCATCAAACGCTGTTCTTTTCTTGTTCTCATTAAGTCCTTGTCCATATGGACGTTTATTGCTGCAAATTCTAAAAATGCAAATACAGTTATAGTCCCCTGCTTTCGCTCAGTGTTATATCATAAATGTTTTACCTATTGGTAGTAATTTTACGTATCATCGTATTTTGTGACCATATAATATGTTTTTAAGTAAATGTGCCATAATTTATGCAACCATTGCCAGGGTTTGTTAGCAGTTTGCTCTGTTTTTAGTCTTCCGCCGTGTTAGATCAATTCCTCACAGTGACCATCTTGTAACATAAAAGTCTTAGGGGAAGGGTCATCTGTTCTTTTTCCAAACACAGATTCAACTGGGGCAGAGTCTTTGCTTGTGAGCTCTCTGGAAGGTGTGAGTTCTTTACAGTGAATACTTTTGGAAGGAAAAATGTGGAAAAACTGATAGATAAACTGGCCAGAATGACATGGCACAGAATGATTGGTGTCTGAGGGTGTGTGGGGGTGTGTTGTTCTTTTCTCTTCTTAGAGAATAAACAGGAAAATAAATAAGGAATCTGGAAGGAGAAGCGGGTGTCTGTTTTATTATTAAGGGAAGCAACAATTTCATGACTGAGTAAGAAGAAGAGAGCTCACAGAGTAAAGTCCTGAGAAGCAGAGTCAGGGATGGAGTTAATGTCTTTTTTCCCTTCCTGGTGGTTTCCTGGAAGCTTAGATAGGTTGAAACTGAAAATGGTTAAAATAAAGGCCAGAAAGCCTTTGACACCAAAATACTCTAACAGGCTTTTTATACACAGGGACCCAGGATTTTTGTATGAGGACAAAATAAGAACTAGAAATGATAGTGATGAAAGTGACTTCATTCTGCCCATTTTTCAACATCCAAACCAGCTTCTCCACCTGCGTGACTTTTGGAAACTCCCCGCTGGTCCCCTGCCTTCTGCCCCGCCCCGCCAATCCACAGCGAACGGTGCAGGCTACGGAAAGTGCTTTTACTGTAAATGTGTGCTCCGGCTCCTGTTCACCTCTCCAGCCTCAAGTCCACGCTCCACTCCCTGTCCCTGTCCCCACTGTCACCATCAGACACACTGTGGCCCAGCTATACCAAGTTTCTCAGGTCTTCAGACACCTGCTCTTTCTGACCTCGGGCCTTCCTACGTGTTTCCCTCTTTCCGCCTGAAACACTCTTCTATTCCCCCAGCTGATTTGTATTTGCTTTTCAGGCCTCTGTTCGTATGTTACTTCCGTGAAAACCTTCCTTAGTCATCAAATGTGACTACTCCCGTCACATATTACTTGTATTTCATTCAACACTCGTCACACTGTATTATCATTGCGTTTTCACTCACATCACTGTACCGTAAGAACCATTCAAGGATCTTTCAGTTTTCATTTTTGTACCGGGTTATCTGGCGTACTTCCTGGCACAGGATAAAGGATCAATATGATATGTCCTATATTCTTAAAACCGTGAAATACAGTAACAAAGCTTTGTCCCAGTGCCTGAATTATGTTATTGAATGTACTATTGTTTCCTTGGTGAAACCTAGGTCACGTTAATAGAAAACAAGGAATTATCATTAATTCGTGCTAAGAAGAGAAGTGACGAACTAGGTTTAAACAACATTTGGTTCATTCAAGCAAATATGGAATATTTTACAGGGATGTTTAATATTGGGGTAAGTAATTAAACAATTTCAATTTCTTTAATTAGATAAGCAAGAAAAATTATTGATATATGCCTTAGAGTAAGTGAGGGAGTTGATTTTAAATTCTTTGGTAAACAAAGAAATCTGCAACCCTCTATACTTACATTTTCTATAAAGTATATGTAGCATGTGAATATTATTTTATTCATAGCACTTTATGATTGCTTGATAGAGATAACATTGGCTTCTCCACCAGATAAGAACTTTATTTTCCTCCTAGGGCATTCCCAGTGCTTTTGCCTTAGAGCAATGTTTGGCACATAGTAAGCGCTTTAATATGGTTAATGATTGAACGTATGAATTCTAATGAAGATGACTTGCTTTGGTTTATTCTGCATTTTTAGAAGACAAAGAGAGAAAAATAACAAAGAAGATAAGAAAAGAAAAATAACTTGTTAGTAACCTCTAAATACTAATGTTGCCTTTAGATAATATTTTCTTTAGCTGAGATTTGATATCTACGTGTATTTATAGCTTCTGAGAGATAGAAATTATGTTGATCATGTTTCTAGGCCCTTTGATTAAATTGTTATTATTTGATATTACTAGAAAGACCTAAGATATGTGATTCTACCTGATCATTTGAAACCAAAATTCTGTGCTGTCCTGTGGAATTTGAGTTTCATAAAGGTGTTGTGATTCTGTTAGAATCACAAATACGTGCCTTTCGAGGCATGAATAAAGCATAGGCTTATTTTATTTCAAAATATGCCTTATAGTCAGAATCAACATATACTCTTTTCTCTAAGAAGCAACTGTACCCTTTTCTTTCTCTAAGAATGAAAATATATTTTGTCAATTTGTCTAGAGTCTTGCCTTGTAAGCTGCCAGGTGAAAAGCATTATGAGAGTAAGTGATGATTAATTTAATTTACTGGCTACTGCATGTAACAAAGACATGCAGTTGAGGTTTCTTGGCTGTTCAGTTTTATTTCAATGGTTTACACGATAGGATGAGTATTGTACTTAGAATTTATATCATGTATAGGTAAACTGAAGTAAGAAAATATAAAGGAAAGGTGTTTCATTTATAATCCATTAATTCTGTAGCATCTATCTGGATCCATAGCATTTACATTTACTTAGGAATACGCATTACCTTGGCCAACAGATAATTTTACAACTTTAATTTTTATCTCTTATTGGAATTCAGTATATATATAGAGAAAAGGGTAGATGATCAGAAACTGACTATTTGAAAACTACAATTCTTAATTCTTTGGGTCAGTTGGTGACACGGTTGTGTGCCGTGATGTCAGCTAAGTCACGTCAGCTAAATGTGGTTTCCCCTCCAGCACATCAGCCTCCGCTGGATACTATTCATAATAGTCTATGTTTTGATGCTTTTTCTACCAGTGGAATATCCTGTATTATATTAATACATTTATCTAGCCTATGCATATTGTATTAACAAAGTCTCTGGGTCAAATGCTTGAAATGTAATTAGAAATTAGATGTCATGCATCTTGGATAGGAATGGCTCAAGAAAAAATATTAGATGCATTTATCTTTGTCCCTGTCTTCCTTTGTCCCCTCCTTTATGTTTGACTAGCATATAATTTACAACTTTTTTCTTATTAGTCAGTGGTGAGCCTAAGAGTGATACCTAGAAATTGTTTATTAAAAAAAAAATTAGTCTCTGAGACTCCTTCCCGCTCCAAAGATGCTGAGTGAGGAGGGCATGGTCTGACTAATGGGAAGAGTGTGAGGTTCGGAGCCAGACTTGGAGTCAGAGTTCATCTGGAATGCTCGCTAGCTCAGGACCTTGGACATGTTATTGTCAATGGAGATCATAAGAGCTACTTAAAGTATCAAATCAAGAAAAAGCAAAAAAGGGTTAAATCAAGAAGGAAATCTATGTAAAGACTTTGATATCTAGTAAGTACTGAATACGTGCTAGTTCCCTCTGATGGTGTCATTTCAGAAGATAGTTAGCATGAGTGAGATGAACAAAATAAAATAAAAGAGTATATTTGTAAAGAGTATCCAGGGCCAAAGGCCCAAACTATCTGAGTCGGGATCCTTAATTTGTTGTGTGACCTTAGACAAGTTGCTTAACCTCTCTGTGCCTAAATTTTCTCATCTCAAAGTGACACCTACTTAGATGTTTGCACACTCTGGTTCATATCAGCACTATTCCCAACAGCCAAGAGGTGGCACCAAGCCAAGTCTCGATCCACAGGTGAATGGGAAACGAAATGTGATATATGCATACTGAAATCTCGGTTCTAGGGATGGTCATTGCTGCTGGTTTGGTCTCTGTTTCTAGGCTTTTCAGTGATCTGAGCCAGGCAACAGTTTTTTTTTGTTTGTTTTTTTTTTTTTAACAAACGCATGAGTTCATACTGACAACTTCCAATTTAAATTCAGGAGAATGGGGTCGTACCTTTGCCTCATTTTTCTTTTACCTCTTCTTTCTCCTACGCTAAAAAAATTAATATCTCTGTTTCTTCATGGCGCCAGCGTTTTTTTTGTTTTAGTCCACAATATACATACCAGGTACTAGACACACACAGCACAACCACCAGTGGTGACTGCTCGAAATAGCTCGAGAATTTTTTAGCATGGCTTTTCATTTAACAATATCTCCCGGAGATCGCTCCGCGGCTGGGCACAGAGAGAGTCCTCCTTCCTTTTGAGAGCAGCAGGGCACTCTGTTGTGTTTATTCCGTCAGTCCTCCGCCAGTGGAAAATTGGGTTATCTGCATTTTGTTGTTATTTCAAATATTGCCTCAGTGGATAGATATTTTTATATTTTTGCTAGTGTGTCTCTTGGGTAGATTTCTGGAAGTGAGATTGCATATTGCTTATGTCATCTTGCTAGATATCGCTACACTTCCCCTCAGTGGGCTGTGACGTTTTTGTATTCCCACCAGCAATGCATGACAGTATCTGTTTCCCTGCAGCCCGACCGATAGACTGCTATCAAATTTTAGGGTTTTTTTTTGTTTGTTTGTTTGAGACAGAGTCTTGCTTTGTTGTCCAGGCTAGAGTGAGTGCCGTGGCGTCAGCCTAGCTCACAGCAACCTCAAACTCCTGGGCTCAAGCGATCCTCCTGCCTCAGCCTCCCGAGTAGCTGGGACTACAGGCACACACCACCATGCCCGGCTAATTTTTTCTATATATTTTTAGTTGTCCAATTAATTTCTTTCTATTTTTAGTAGAGACGGGGTCTCGCTCTTGCTCAGGCTGGTTTCGAACTCCTGAGCTCAAACAATCCACCCACCTCGGCCTCCCAGAGAGCTAGGATTACAGGCGTGAGCCACCGGCCCGGCCAAATTTTAGGGTTTTGCCACTGTAATGGGTGATAAATAGTATCTTAATATAGTTTAAGTATTTATTTCTCTTATTTTGAGCGATATTGACCAACTTTTATTTAAGGACTATTTGCATGTTTTTGTTTGTGAACTGTTTGTTCATATCTCTTGCTCATATTGCCATCATATTATTGGGCTTTTTCTTTATTTTTAGAAGCTTGTTGTAATATTAGGGATATAAACCTTTTGTTTATGCTATAAGTTGTAAATTTTTTCCTACTTTATCATTTGTCTTTTTACTTATGGATTTTTTTTTTTTTGCCCTTCAAATGTTTTTTGAAAAATTTTTATTTTATCAAATTTATTAAGTTTATCCCTTATTGTATAAGGATTTTTCAGCCATAGTTAAAAATTATTTCCTACTCCCTTTGGTGGTGGAGGAATTCACTCATGTCTTACTTGTCACATTTTAAATCTCTAGTCCATTTGAAATGTATTTCTTATGTGGTGAGAGGAAAAGATCTAATTTTTATTTTTATGTGGCTACAAGGTTAACCCAACACTTATTAAAAAGTCCATCTTTTCTCTCCTGGCCTGAAATACCGCCTTAATTGTATGCTAAATCTCTGTATCAAATGGTAACATTGACCTATATCTCTCTTCATTATTTGCCGGTTATTTTCAACTTGCATTTAATGACAATGGGAACTAGAAGTATGTCATGCAGTAAAGCCTTTAGACCTAAAATCTATTACTAGGAGACAATTATGATATTATCTATAAACTATTTTGCGAATAGTTCTTCGATTTAGTTATTTTGTTTAAACGAGGGAAATAAACGTAATCTTTTGATGTAGCGAAAGGAATGTGGACCTAAGTACAGAGAGACTCGGAAACGTACATTCTCTAACCTTTTCTTCATTCAGAGCCTCAAGAGGGTTTTGCAGAGAAGCAGCCCGATGTGATTAACGCGTGAGGTTGGGATTCGGGGTCAAGATCCTGCCCCTCGGCAGCTGTTCTGTTGTGGGCAAGCTCTTAATTTCCCCAAGTCTCAGCCTCCTCATTTCTAAAACGGAGAAAATAAAATCTTCCGGTGTTGTGAGCGCAGCTCTGCGAGCCACCACCCAGCACAGAAGGGACGCTCAGTGTCAGTGCTCACTGCTTTCCCTCCAGGGGAAAATGCGTCTGTCATCGTCATTATGAGATTTTCTCCGGCTACTCAGGAAATTAAGGGCGAGTCTGATTTTTACTCTGAAAAGCTGGCTAAATAAAGGGGCAGGGGAGAAGTCAATGTCCTTTGCTTCTCCTTTCCCTGTCGTCGTCGCTGCCTTCACCGGGTGGCTGCCTTCCTAGGCTCGGTCTTCGGAGAGAAACGGGGCAGGTGGGTGACAGCGGTCGGAGGTTGTCGACTTCTGTGTGAGCCACGTCAGGCTGGAAGGACGGGGGGATGCAGGAGAGGGGTGAGAACAGAGGTCTTGCTTTCCTCCTCCCAACATAGTATTGTTCTTAACTTTCTCATTCAAAAAGGGAATCTGGCTTATAAGACTTTACATCCAGAAATTTCCAGAAAACCTCCTCTCCACCTGGAGAGCTCCTCCCTACCCCAAGGCTGGCGAGCTCTGTCTGTCCTTGGAAGGAAAGATTCTAATCCAGTGCGGTTTGTCTCTGTCCAGAATGGAACGGAGTTGTGAGAATCTCTCCGGCAAAATGTAATGTAGGTTTTTCATCTTTTAGGATCCCCACATCTGATTTTCCTTCTTAGAGTTCTATTTTGCTTTCTTTAGCCTAATACTTTTCATAATTGCTGCTTTAGACTTGTCGTAAGTATAGCTATATTTAAGGATGTGTGTTTCGAATGTTTTAGAGTTATTTTTATTTTCACGAATTATTGAAGCCCCACTCAAAAATTCATAGCTTTATTCTTTCCTTTGTTGATAAGCCTATTGCAAGCAGTGCATGTAATTGATCATTCAATGTATTGTCAGTATACGAAAATACCTTGAAGGGTACTACTAATACATAAATATGATTTTTAATCAGTTTTTTAAATATAAGGCTATTAAGATTATATTCATATAGCATTCGAAAAAGTGTTTTCAAATATACTTTTATTTAACTTTTGCAACACTGTGATATGTCAGTTTTGTTACCCATAGTTATAGTTAAGGAGACTGAGGCCCAGGGCCACATAGCCACGCAGAGTTCTAGACTAGAAATTCTCATTTCATGTCTGCTGTTCTTGGCACATGCTACAACTGAACTAAATTCATCATCAGCAAAAGCACTAGTTTAGACATGTATATACATTAAATTTTCCATGTTAAAATTGTGTCAGATTTCCCACTGAGTGAATCTTACGCTTCTTTTGCAGTATTCCGTTTGTAACCTTTCAGCTTTGCTTAATTTTCTTCATTAATATGAACAGCCTAGCAGTCCTTCGGTACGTCCGAACGAGAACTATTTAAAAGGCGCCGAAGTCGCACCGTTAGTTAAGAAAGAACTCAGTGCTGAGGTCTGGCTTTATTCTCCAGGTGGCGTTGCACGCTTGCGGGGTGGCCACAGACATGGTGATCGAGCACTGCGTCCGGATACGGGCTTCCTTCGTCACATGCCCTTGCTGTTACGGTTTCATCCAGAACACCTCGAGATTTAGCTTCCCAAAAAGGTGACATTCAGTGTTCTGCCCAAGACACCCATATGGGGGTAAAGCAGCCACGTGAAGCCTGTTTGACATAAAGCTGCAATGAGATTTCATTTGTGACTCATTTCCTCTCTGCACAATGGCAAATATTGTTTACAGATTGTGCAAGGAAGAGAGGGTCTCCTTTATGTCTGTCCCTGATTTTTCTCCTGAATCCAGCTCTTGCTGAAATCTAGAAGCGAATCTACCTAGGAATCAGCCGCCTAGAAGTCTGTCAGCTTCGGCACTTCTCTGTGTGCTTTTAAACGAAATTAAAACCGTCATCCACGAGAGGCATGGACTGTAGCGGTTCAGTGTCTGGGGCTGGAGTATTCTACCTCCCAGCAAGTGCAGCCCCTGCATCGGTTTATGAGTTGTTCCCCCTCAGGAAGTGACTTAAACTCTTTTTGCCTGTGTTTTCTCACCTCCCAAATGAGGGTTATAATAGTAACTACCTCAAGGTTTTTGTGAGAATTTGATGAGAAGTGCAAAGCTCTTAGAAATGGTATACAGTAAGCACTCAATACATGTGAACTGTTGCTACTGACAGGAGTAGCATCAGTATTTTTAAATACTGCCTCTGGGTGTTGACGATTAATCTGCAAGATTGGTGGCCGATTTATAGTCCTTCTTGTCCAGCATAGAAGAGGGAGATATTTTAATTCTTACTCCTTTGACCCAACTTATTGGAAGGCCGTCCTCTTGGTGCTTATGACATTTTCACTGTCTGATTCATAGTCACAGAGAATCATGATGATCATTTTAATTATGGGGTAGATTAAACATGTTAGTTTTAGAAAATCTATCCTACAGTATGCCAAAAAAGACTTCTTGATCAGTTGCATCATTACTTTAAAAAAAAAACCTTAGAAAATTTCCGTTAGAAATTATATTAAAGACTTCTACATAAGTAATTTAAAGTAACAAAATACAAGTAATCATCTTCTTTATCTTTTATTGTTTTATTCTTTACCAAAATTTGCAACAAGTTGGAAAAAAACCAAAGGAACTATTGAAAAACAAAAAATAAAATAAAACTTGAGGCTTTGAATTAAGTAGTAGAAATTTCATTTTATTCTACATCTGTACTGATAAAATGTATATTTTTACAACTCGTCAAGGAGTTTGTAAGTCTAGCACTGTAAAGATTCGTAAGAATGCTAGTTGGCCTTGTTCAGCCTATCGTCTAACTTAACCTATTTGAAAGTTTCAATTTAGAGTCAACTTTTTCACACCCTATAGATTTACTAACATTTTCTTCCCTTACCCTTGGAACTGTTATCTTGTGTAGAAGACCTATCTCAGTCACTAAAGACAGAGTTGAAAGTTTATAAATACCATACTCTTCCTATAATATGTGGAAACAAGTAATCATTTCAAACGAACTGGCCCTGATAAATTTAGCATCAGATGTGTTCAATGTATTGAAACACCTGGATCTGTGTGTTCCCATGAGGGGGAGAGAAAAAATCTGGGTGTGCTTCTCTCACTGTGTGAACAATCTGTGAAAGAAAATCTTTAAAATTAATAACATAGTGATGACATGCGTTTTTTTATCTTTTTATAAAGACATTTCAAACTAGCGTAGGTTTTACTTCAGGATATCATTTTATACTCTTCAGATACAATATATATTTTTGTTTATAATTTAGTTTCTTCAGGATTATTTTACTCTTAATACTTGGTATTTAGAATGATAACTAATCCCCTTTTTTTTTCTATTTCAGTGAACAATTCAAGAAAACTTTATCATACAAGGTAAACTCAAAAAGATGTAGATGTCTTAATATGTTCTTTGATCCTGTCTTTGTGGTCTTCCCTCTCAAATTCCTAATGGAGCAGATAATCTATAGTTATATTTGAATTACTCATGAACACCTAATATGGCTTTTTTTTTTTTCTTTTTCTTTCCCAATCCAGATTAACTCATCAAGTAGTTGGCAAGATTTGCGAAGGGTTTGAGGTCTTTACTTGCAAACTAGAAAGGTAGCCTGCCACAGTGGATGCTGGCAAGAGACAGGAGACTCCTAAGTCAGAGGCAAAAGAGTTTGTTGCCACAGCAACAGCGGTGGCCGGGTTCGGTTCCTTTTGCTTTTGCCGCCTTGGGGCCCGTTTTCCCCGGGTTACCCCTTGCCTTTTTTTCAGAGGGAGACACTGTCCACACTTTCCAAGGCTGCTCACCCTGTAAACATGCTGGAAAAGATAATCTGGAACAGAGGCTAATATTTCTGTAAAAGGTCAGACAGTAGATATTTTAGCTGTGCTGGCCACATACGAATCACAAATCCACCCCCTCCCCCCACCCCCATAGTCTTCTTCATTGTTCTTGTTGTCGTCATCATTGTTGATTTACAACCCTTTAGAAACAAAACCTCTCTTAACTTGCAAGCCACAGGAAAACAGATCATAGCTGGATTTGGCCTGGCCACAGTTTGCCAACCCGGATCTGGCACAAAGACAGGCAGCGCCTCTGCTTACAAGACACAAAGAAACACAACAGACCCACGGAGAGCTGTCTCCCAAAAGCAGTCAGAACATGGCATAGTCTTGAGTCTCCAATATGAGCAAAAACAGTTTCCAACTTCCTGACTATCACCACTAGCCAATTAATTGGTCAATAACATGACCTGATACAATCTAAGAAATAATAATATTTGAAAAAAAAAAAAGCATTCTATTAGAAGTTGTTAGTTTGGATTCTTAGTTTAGTTAGTTATAATTTTTGAACAGACTCACTAAAAACATACAGTCTCGTTTACATGCCAGCCGCTGCGTTTTAGGAATTTTACCTTCCTCAAACAGTGAAATGGTGATGTGCAGTGACCTCAAAATGTTCATTTCTGTCACCTGGCAGCTGTGTCTGCTTCGCCTCTTCTTTATATAATAACTTCACGGCTCTGACGCGGCCACCTCCAACTCTGTCTCCCACCCTCCCTGCCACCCGCGCCTTCCTCCCCTTCCCGGCCTCTGCCCCACCCGCCCCGCGCACTGTGCACGGGTCCCTATGGAGAGGGGGGGACTTGAGTGTTCGTGCTCTCGTCGCTGACGTTCGCCTGCAAGATTAGAAGTTTTCATGTCCTAGGGAACTGCACAATTCAGGGGGGACATTAAGACCCCAGAAACTATTTGCATAAGATTTGAACACTCTGTCTTTCTGAAGGTCATTTCCATAAAGTAGAAAATGAACCCGGGAAAACGAAACCAAAAGCCAGACCTCCATCTCTGCTCCCTCCGTGAGCGACGCTCCGTAAAGCAGACAGCAGGAGGGTGGGGTGTGTGAACAGAACCGCGCGTGTCGAGGAGACAGGGTGCCCACAGTCTCGTTGGCTGGAAAACTGTGACGTTTCTGGAGTGAAGCTGGGCACACAGACTCTTCCAGAGAGCAGAACCTCCCCGGTTCCCCAGTTCGTAATCTTTACCCCGTCTCTTTCTCCGGCACCCCCAAAAGCTGCCTGGTCTTTAAGGTCTCAGGACCTAGTGTCCAGCTGTCTTGAGAGTCGCTTTGGAAGTGTTTTCTTCACAGTTCAACTGGGCCGGCAACCTCGGCTGAGCACCTGCTACATGCCTTGCCCTGTCGGAACCTAACTTCGGCTAAAGAGAACATGCACACAAACAATCCCAATAAAATATGGTAGGACTTCTCAGCACAAGAGAATCGAACCTTACCTGAGGTTATGATTGCCTTGACATTACATTTATATAAAATGGATCTTCATTTACAAACACCACGAGGACAAGGGGCATGCTTTTCTTGCCTTTTCTTCAAATCATGTAATTCTAAATTATTCTTCTGTGCCTTTGTTGATGCCAGTTAATTTGTGGGGGCTTAATAAAACTTATTCATTCAAACCATTTTATTTCCTACCTGTTGCCATTGAATTTTATCGCGAGCATTAAAATGCCTTTTAAAAAAAAAATGCATAAAAGTTAAGACAAAGATATCCTTTTTAGGCCAGGCATGGTGGCTCGTGTCTGTAATCCCAGCACTCTGGGAGGCCCAGGTGGGAGGATCGCTTGCAGTCAGGAGTTGGAGACCAGCAAGAGCAAGACCCCCAGTCTATACCAAAAATAGAAAAAAATTAGCTGGGCGTGGTGGCTTGTGCCTGTAGTCCCAGCTACTTGGGAGGCTGAGGCAGGAGGATCACTTGAGCCCAGGAGTTTGAGGTTGCTGTGAGCTATGATGACACCACTGCACTCTACCCAGGGTGACAGAGCGAGATTTTGTCTCAAAAAAAAAAAAAGTATCCTTTTTAAAAACCAGCATTGCCACAATCATTTCACTTACCTTGTTAAAAAATGGAGGCTTCAGATTTAATGTACACAATGCTCAGGGCACCGATGATGAATCTGAGTTTAGCCTGTTTGCCAAGCTGGCAGGTGAGATCATACACACACTTGGAAACCACGGCTGTTCTGAATGGACGGCTGAACTAGGAGCACTGCGTTTGTTTCAGCTCTGCCTAACCAGTCCCCTCTGGCTACCTGCACATTTAAGAGTGGTGTGTAAACTCGTCAGCTCTGTCCCTTTAAAGCTTTCTTGACTTTTTTTGTCATTAATTCAGGCTTTTCTAAAATTGTTGAGTAGAAGTAATGATCCCCCTGCCATTCCCTGAGGTCTTTACAGTTCATCTTATAACAGAAAGGGGCACCCCTCCTGCAGCTTTTGGAGGGAAGAGGGAGAGATCCAGGTTTCTGTCCCCTAAAGGGACTGAGGGACGGGGGGAAAAGTCAGGAAATTGTCAAGGACCAGCCAGCACCCTGCTGGGGACCCCGAGAACCAGAGAAGCCACCGACAGTGACCTGCACGCTTCCTTTTCCTCTGCTAGGATGAAAAGCCACTGCGCATGTCTTCTTGGAGCCCCATTCCAGAGATTCAGATAAATTTTATAAAGGAAAAACATAAGTGAACTTTAGGTCTTTTAACACATTACAATAGCAAAATACAACCATGTTTTCATATTTCAGCTAAAAGCAACTGGGCGGAAGGGCCCTGAGGCTTTCTGTGCGTCTGTTGCTAAGAACTACATCCGAGGAGCAGTAGACTTGAAGGCAGAAATTCCCGAGTGCCGTCTTCTGAAAGCTTGCTTCTTCTAGAAGTGCTATTTGTGCAGCATGCTGTTCAATTAAACAGTGTTCAACTCCAGAAAAATGGGATCGTTTTTTTGTCGTCGTTTTTACAACTTTGAAGGAGAAGATGAAAATAAACCCACACGCTATTGCTTTCTCTTTTAGGAACACATGATTCTGTGCAGATTTGCGGATCAGACAGCTGTCCAGCTTCCACCCCAACAAAGGCTCATAGGTATGTGTTTGCACAGAGCGGCTGTTGAGCAGATTATGTACAGCATGCCTGGGAATGAGTGGATCAGGTCTGTGTGGGGAAACTTGTCCACAAGAAGCCCATTAGTTAGCGGGAAACTAAAGTTCGGGCCGGGCGTGGTGGCTCACGCCTGTAATCCTAGCACTCTGGGAGGCCAAGGTGGGTGGATCGCTCAAGGTCAGGAGTTCGAGACCAGCCTGAGGAAGAGCGAGACCCTGTCTCTACTAAACATAGAAAAAAATTAGCTGGGCATGGTGGCGCATGCCTGTAGTCCCAGCTACTCGGGAGGCTGAGGCAGGAGGATCGTTTAAGCCCAGGAGTTTGAGGTTGCTGTGAGCTAGGCTGACGCCACGGCACTCTAGCCAGGGCAACAGAGCCAGACTCTGTCTCAAATATAAAAAACAAAGAAACTAAAGTTTGTTCTTCCCAGAAAACTTACTCCATATTAAAAAGGCTTTGTGAGTATAGTAACATTTCATCCCATTTTGGTTAACGTTAGTACTTCTAAATACATTTTCAATGCCTGTACTCTGAGTAGGATTCCTGTTATTCATAAACCTTTTTCCCACTGTTATGAACAAACTGCAAAGTCTATCAAAAGCCACAAAAGAAAATAATAAAGATAGAAAAGTCAACTACACGTGCCAAAATTTATGCATTAAAATGTGTATGAACAAGGATGATAATGATTTTTTCCTCAGGAAAAAGGTATACGTTATTCATCATAGACCAGTGTATTCAACATTGGAAATATTAAGCATTTCCTAAATTGCAAGACCCATAGGAACATTTCAAGTTCATTAAGTAATTGACTTATTGAAGACTTCTCTTTAGAAAAAGAAATCGAACTTAGAAGAATAATAGCATCTGAGAGTCACACATTTAAGCCCTGAGCTAAATGCCCTCACCTATTATCTCAGTAAATTCTGACAAAAACTCTTATGGGCTAAGTACTGTTATTTGCATTTTCATGATGACAGAACTGAAACAGAAGCTTGCTGGGGTCCTTCATCTGGCAGATGACGGAGCCCCACGATGACTCCGAATTATTTGACTCGGTACGTGAAGCTCTTTCCCACTTCGGTAATACCGCTTCCCAGCACACGGGAGTCACAGCACTGCAAGCACGGCTTCCAAAATCAGCATTTAAGATAAATGTGTAGAGTCCAAACTCATCTTAAAAATTATTCAGAGAAGCTCCACACTGGACACCATCATGTTAATACTTTCTCTCCAAAATTCCAACTTAGCCCATTTTCCAACATAAAAACAGACTGTTGTTTCTCTGGCTGAGCTGCATTCAGAGAGCGTGTCGCAGGAGAAATAGTGACCTTTCAACTCGGAAATCAAAGTCAGTGTAGCAAGATGCTCACGCTTGAAGAGGCCTGCAGGACCTGAGACGAGTAACAAACAGTTCCCTTCTCTCTCTCACCCTCTGGGTGTAGACGTGTGGAGAGAGCTTGCTTTCTCCTGCTCGGAACCTCTCTTTCTCTTTCCCTCTTCTTCCTCCTTTTCCTATCCCCAGACTTTGAGTTAGTCAAATGTACCCCTGATAGAATTCCACTCCCTAGACCCATGTCGTAGTCTGCTTTGTGCCGCTATGACGGAATACCAGACTCGGTAACTTATGATGAACAGAAGAAATCTGTCTGGCTCGTGTTTCTGGAGGCTGGAAGTGCGAGGTCAAGGGGCTGGCATCTGGTGAGGGCCTTCTCGCTGCATCACAACATGGCAAAAGGCATCACCTGGCGAGAGAACAGGAGGCTGAGCTTGTCCTTTATAAGGAAACCACACTCTCAGTAATGAACCCACTATCATGGCGACAGCGTTAATCCGTTCACTCCGCCCTCATGGCCTAACCACCTCCCAGCATGGTCGCATTGGGGATTAAGTTTTCAACACGTGTTTTTTGGAGAACACATTCGAATGACAGCAACTCAATGAAGGCGTAATTAGCCCGGTGCATGGTACGTGGTAGGTGCGAATTTTAGTCATCGCACCAAGGAGAAGGGCTGGAAGGGAAGTTGCTAGAGTTGAGGAAGAGGGTCATTTGGCAAAATCACTGGCAGGAAGCGGGTGGGGGTAGGTGGCAGGATTCACACTCAGCCAAAGCCATAGACTCCCTCAGACGTCTCCATCTCTGCGTCGTGCGGCCCGTTCCTGTGTTCTGTGCACATTTTTAGGGAATTCACCAGGCCTGCATCGGTAGGCTGCCAACAGCGGGATTTCAGTTGTGAAGACACGTCAACATGTGAAAACATGAGATGGTTCTACATGATGGAGAAGGAGAGACTGACCGGGATCCAAGCCAAGGATAAAGGAGCTACGGCGTAAGCCCAGGGTGGATACGGAAGGAATGTAGAGCATCCCGTTCTGACAGAGAAGGTTCCATTTTAAACTGAGAAGTAGGTGGGGAGACAGTTACCGAGGTCTTAAGGGAAGAACAATATTTTAAGGGCAAAGACGGATGTCAGCCACAGGCTGCTCATGAAGAGGGGAGGATTTCACCCAAACGGAGCTCTCGACGTCCCGTTTCGTGCCACTTCTGACTCAGCCCGTCCTTCATGGGGTGGGTCCTTGTAAGGAAAATGTTCAAAATCGACATCTGGAGTCTTCTCTGATTGCCAATTCTTACCTCCTGATTTAGTTCACCATCCACTGTTTTTTTCCGTGAGGATTCCGTTTTCCACAGAAGAGCTTTTCTACTTGAGTTACCTGTCTTTACTTCCGAAGCCGTTTCAGTTTAGTGGTTTCCACTGCCATTCAAATAAATTATCTAAAAATAATGTGAAGGCATTGTTATAATTATTGAGGAAAACTGGAACAAATGAAGTTCCGCATAGTCAGTAACCTTTCTCCAAGAGGATGAAGAAGCTTATATATTACATTTGGGGCAATTAAAAGTGTAAAAGTAAACCAGAGCTTTGAATATATTCAGCCCCGAATCATTTTGTCCCTGGCTACTTTTGAAGTTTGTGTTTGCCAAAGGAAAACAAATTAACCTGTTCGCTTGCCAGTCAGATTGCCCCTTTTGTCTTCCAAAGATTGCAAAGGAAATAGAATACCACTATTTTATAGGGGTGCAGGAGCTCTGAAAATTAAGAGGGTATTACACTCTATTACATATCCACCTGAAATAGCACACAATTGAGAATTTTCTCAAATATTTTCCAGTTCTCATTTCTTCATAGTCCTAAAAAGCTCCTGGTAGAAAAGGTAACATGTCTCCCAAATGGTCCCTTCTCAGCGTGTTCCTTTAGATGTTCTTAAACACAGATTTTTTTTCCCCACGATATTATAGATAATGTAGTTTTATAGGGAAGGCAGAGGAGAGGTCTTTAAATGGATTTTTAACCAAGTAGGAAATAGAATCTGCAGTTCTAATTCGAGATCTGTGTATAACTTCGAAAAGGTTAACATTCTTTAAATTATTCGTAGAGACAAATCGTGATATGTCATGTATTTGTAAACTATCTTTTTCTCCACGCTGATGAAAGAGACTAAGCAGGACTTGGGTGTAAACAGCTCTCTCCGCAGTACGTGTGGATTTCGTCCCTGTATAGATTCCCTCAAATCGGCTGAAATTGCCCCGCTAGCCAAAGGGTGTCTCATGGTGCCATCTGACTGTGTTTCAGGAAAACAGTGCATGTGCCTGGTGGATCTGGACCGAGCGAGAGCTGCCGAAGAACGCGGCTACGCCGTTCAGGTGATATCCATGGAGCCCGAGAGCTGCTCTCCCAAAAATAACATGATCGTGGGAGTCCCCGTCTAGCATGCGATATTCACATTGGGTGTTTTGCCATCAGTCTTCACGTCGAAAGCCCAGTGGCGTTCGGGGGGGTTCTTGGCATGGCCGGGAAACATTAGCCATCCTGGACCTGTTGTGCTCAGGAAGGAAAGCAACGGGAAAACCTTGCAAGAAAGGCTCCCTGCAAAGCGTCACGAATGCTCCTACAATGTGTGGTTAAAGAACTGCTGGTTTTTCTAGTAAGAATCAATCCCCTGGCGTCTCTGCTGCCAAAAGAATAAAACTCCCCAGTGGAGGTTCCCTCACTGGAATAACAATTTCCTTCCCGGTTCACAAGCTTTTCTAGTCTTGCCGATGTGACGTGCAATTGAAAATAATATACCTGCAGTCTTTATTTTGTAATCATTTAGATATTCACAGGGAGACTGAAACTAGACTCAGTGGGATTTTTTGTTTTTTATATTTGTAACAATTGCACTTTTTCTATAATTTTTAAAAAATTAGGAAATCACAGCATTTTTAAGCTGGAGTTAGTTCACCTTAGGTGTCCTTTAGTATCCTCCTTTTAAATACATTTCCCATAAATTACCAAATGAGATCATCACGGGTTCAAACTTTTTATGTGAAGAGATTATAAAATAATTGTGGTCCATTCCCTGTTATGGGAATATGGAATTTGGACATAAATTCTGACCAGACAATAAATACATTGGTCAGTGAATTCAAGATGGTAAGTGAATATGGAGGATCCATCATTTTCAAGACATCAGCCTGGATTCTCCCCAGGATTCAGAGACGAGTTGCAAGAGACACAATGCTTTGCCTATGGAAGTAAATCTTCTAGAAGAAAAAGATTAAAGCATTAGTTAAGTTTTTCATGTTATACTATAATGTATGGTCACAGGGTTTGTTATTCAGATGTCAATCATAGTTTTTATTTGTTTTGGGGGCATAAAACTTACAGAGTATAAATTGGGAGTGTGAGGAGTATTTGGAAGCTTATTGGAATAGTTCTTTTTACCTAAATTCTCTTTTTTCTGCCAGCCAACATTTTTAAAGACAGATGGCACATTCTTTCTCACATGCTGCTAATTACATGTCCTAAATTATTTCATTTAAGATTTATTTCATTGATTTTGATATTTCCAGCCCCTGTATTACACATATCATGAGAAGAAAGGGCTTTAATTGGTCATCACTGTGGATTAAAATACAGGAGGACTGATTTACAGGGCGCTATGGGTGGAGGCAGGGAGGTTTCAGAGTCTGTTTTCTGGGATAAAATTTAAGAAAAGAATTAACTGTCAGTCCAGAGTATTTTAGTCATTCATGCCCATAGATAATAACATGTTCTTATATCCTGGACTTTCATTTTTTCTAATTGAGGTTTAATTCACATGCAATAAAATAACATATTTTTAAATGTTCGTTTGAGAAGTTTTGACAACTGTAAACACCCACATAACCACCAGTAAAATAAGATATTTCCATCAGACACTGTTAGATATACATATTGAGAATATTTTTCGCAGTCTGTAGCTTTCCTACTCATTTTCCTAATGAATGTTTTAATTTTCATGAAGCTTAATTTATCAAGTTTATTGATAAAGCTTGATAAATTGAAAAAATTGATGAAGCTTATTTTATGGTTAATATTTTCTGCGTCCTTTCTAATAAATCTTTACCTACCCTAAGGTCATGAAAATTTCTCCTATGTTTTCTCGCGGAAACTTGATGGTCCCAGCTCACTGCGTTTAGTTAGGTCTACGATCTGTCTCAACTCGTTACTCACATACAGAGGTAGGTAGATGTGAAGAATATATGGTTGTTCCAGCACCATGTTTTAAAAATCCTTTCCTCCCACCATTGAACCGACTGGCCGCCTCAGTTGAAAATCAGTTGATATTTGTGTATGCGTCTACTTCCGAATTCTCTAGTCTCTTCCATTCGTCTGTCTGTCTCGACTGCCACAGCTTTATAGCAAGTCTGGAAATCAGGTAGTTTGTCTTCCAGTTTCATTTCATAATCTAGACTGTTTTGGCTATTCTGGATCCATTGTATTCCCATTTAAATCTTAGCATTGGCTTCTCCATATCTCTTAAAATTTTACCAAGTAAGCCTGCCGGGATTTTTCGTATTGCCTGGTCTCCTTAGATCCATCTGGGGAAGTGAACACCTGAACAATATTGAATCTTATGATCCATGAATATAATATCTTTCTGTGTATTTAGGCCTCTGTTAATTGCTCTCTACAACATTTTATAGTTTTCTGTGTAGAGGGTTTGTTTTATTTATTATTATTTGATGGTTTTGATGGTGTCACCCTGAGCTTTTTGCACACTGTTCACACTGTGTGGAATAGTCTCCTTGTACCCCTCCCACTAGCTTAACGTCATTCATCCTCTGAGCCTTTCCTAACCTCTTCGGAGTTAGTTCCTTGTTTTAAATTTTCCCCGGCCCGGGGCGTTTTTTTCGTTCTTCCCCGGTTGCTTTTCAGGGACCTCCTTTTTCCCCCTTCCAAAAGGCGGCCCGGTTGACCCCGGAGGTCATAAGAAGAGGACCCCACTGCTCTCCCAGCCTGTTCCGGGCGTGGCGTTCTCCAGCTGTGGTGGCCGTGGCTGGTAAGAGCTGTGGGTGCTGTGACTGCTCTTGGATCAGGACTTCGCTACATAAATCCTCGCCAAGGCTCCTTCCCAGCCAGGGCAAATAAAGGGGGTTGGATACAGGCAGCAGGAAGATTTATTACTGCAATGACAACAATCCAAGCAAGTGACCTGATTTTGCCCCTACCCTGTCCATCAAAAGCAAGGCTGCCGCCCACTGATCTGTCTCCCCAAGGTTGTGATAATATTAGGAATCACAGCTCACTTTTACTGACTTTTGAGTCTGACTCAGAGAAACGTGTATAATTATTAATGGCTAAACTACTTTATCTAATTTAGGGAGACAGATTTCAGTCATATTAGAAATCAAAACACTTTCAGGACACACATGCTTAATATGTGAATAACAGTAATTAAACATTTAGTTTTGTTCTGAAGATTTTGGCTACAGGTGTTGCCCATCCCGTGGTTCAAGAAAATTGCCATAAGTAGGAATTCCACTTACTGAAACCTATTTTTCTATTGACTTTTTAGTAATGAAATTAGAAATATGTTTCTGTAAAGTGATATAATGAAATCATAAGAAAGAAAACAATACATTTTTGAATTTAAAAATTCTCAAAAAAAGGCTATCAATGCAAAAGTAGTTTGGAGTTTTTGAATAGAATTTTTTAATTACACAGGAAATATATATTTGTTGTACAGCAGCTAAAAGATGTGGCTAAACAAAAAGAATAAGTTTTTAATTCACCGTATTAAAATTTTGTTTTATACCTTCCTAGATTTTGCTTTACATGCACACGCACAAAGATTCATTTAACAAACACTACAGTACTTAATATTTGCTAAGCACTATTCTAATTCTTTTGTAAATAATAACTTATTTAATCTTTTAAGTCATTTGATGCTCATAGTAACCCTATGAGCTAGATATCACTAGTAACCCATTTTTTTTTTATTTTGAGATAGAGTCTCACACTTTTGCCCGGGCCAGAGTGAGTGCCGTGGCATCAGCCTAGCTCACAGCAACCTCAGACTCCTGGGCTCAAGCGATCCTTCTGCCTCAAGCCTCCTGAGTAGCTGGGACTACAGGCATGCGCCACCATGCTCCGCTAATGTTTTCTATATATTTTTAGTTGTCCGATTAATTTCTTTCTATTTTTTTAGTAGAGACGGGGGTCTCGCTCTTGCTCAGGCTGGTTTCGAACTCCTGAGCTCAAGCGATCCGCCCGCCTCGGCCTCCCAGAGAGCGAGGATTACAGGCGTGAGCCACCGCTCCCAGCCACTAGTAACCCATTTTACAGAAACTAAGGCTAAGGCTATACAGTAAATGTAGACCTGGGTTTGAACTAAGCCAGTGAGTCACAGAGCTAATATTCAAACTCAGTCATCTCTTTAGCAATCCTATCGGGATTGGGTGGGATAATCTACGATAACAAAATCTCAGTTCCTTTCCACAAGAAAGATGTGCTTTTCACTTGGACTACGTATCTACCCAATTGCTCTGACATTATCTCGCAACATGACTTGGCCTGGTGGAGCAGCCTCTGTCGGGAAGAGAGCCGGTCTCCTGGCAAAGGAAAATAGTCCTGGCAGGCTACAAGCAAGCTGTAGAAGGTTTAGCTCAGATGGCTTACACATCACTGTCCTCGTTTGGTTAGCAAATCACATAGCCGCTGTTCAGATTAACAGGGTGGGGATGCACAGTTTTACACAATCATGTCCCACCAGCAACGTTGAAGAAGGGAGGAGAAAAAGAACAGAAACAAAAGACCATCATCCCATATTCCGGTTTGGGGACAGAGTTCCTGAATGCCGTGGACTTGGGGCAGGACATTCTCTGGAATGCATCAGAGTGACAGAGGGCGCGTCCTTTCCTGGGACAGCCGTGCTCCCTCACCTGCTGCGGGAGGTGTGTTCCAAGCCCCACCGCGGATGCCTGGACTACAGATGGCACCGAACCCCGTGACCGATGGCTGTCGGGACAGTATCCAGCCGTCGTAAATACAGCGAGGACGGCTGCATGGCTGGACGCTCTCCGGCAGCCCTTGTGGGCTGTGTTGTTTTCAACCTGGTGACCGGTCAGGCTGCTGAGTGACGGGTAGTGTGCACAGCACAGACACGCTGGACAAGGGACGATGCACATCTGGGGGGGACGCACCAGGATGGCACGAAAGTCATTACAACAGCATGCTGTGTAGCCAAATTATGAATTTCAGCACGTTTTTAAAATTAAACTTCCAAATTTTCTGACAGATGAAAATCAATCTGATTTTTAAAGACATCCAGAGCAAGGGATTGCAGCTTCTCTCCCAGTAAATCCTTAGTGTCTTCTCCATGGCTTACGTCAAGGAAATTCTATTTTAGACAAATTCCTAATGCTCCCTTTGGAAATGCATCTCAGGTGCTTATGTCAAAGGGACGACCATGAACTAACTTTTCTTGCTTTAAATTGAGATGCACTTCGGAAGCACGACTTTTAACCTGTTTTCTTTATTATTGTTTGTATAGTAGTGTTCAGATTACCATTTTACTTTTGGAGTCTTATTTCCTGAGTCTTTCATTATTTCTAAGGGTCCCTTCCAAACCTCGCCCAATTTCCACCTTTTCCTTGGCTATAAATCTTGGGTGCGTTGCAGAACTTGTAAGTGAACAGAATAATTAAGGTTGGTCATTCTCTTAATTACCTAAAGCTCTGTAATCCCTGTTGTCTGGCAGAGAGAAGCCTGCCTGGTTCGTTCTCAAAGTAGTCTTGGCTCGTTGAGCCCTGTTGCTCTTCCATCTAAAATTAAGAGCTGCTTGTCATGTTCTCTGAAAACGCCTTTAGGGGTTTTTACCGGAGCTGCACTGAATTTAGAGATTAACTGGGGAAGAACTGACATCTCAACAACGTTTAATCTTCTTATTCCTGAACACGGAAAACACAAACAAGGTGGTTGCTGTCAATTCCTGCTTTATCACACATAGATTGCCGATTTTAGCAAATACTTTTGCTATATCCGTTGAAATGATCATCTGGTTTTTCTCTTTTAGTGTTTGAATGAGGCTAATTCTATTAATAATATATTTTCTAAAGTCCAACTGTCCTTATTCCTGGGCAAAACTTCAATTGCTCAAGATAAGTTTTTTTCTAGTTACGAATATTTTATTTTAAATTTTATCATCTTTGTTTACAAGTGTGATTGGACTTTCTGACATTAACCTGATCTGCTCTGGGGGTCAAGATCAAGGTTATTTACCATTAAGTGATCTGAAAAATAACTTTTTCTATTCTCTGGAACTTTTTTTTTGTAATAAAATAGGGATTATCTTTCCCAGACGTCTGGTTCACTGACTTGTAAAACCATCTTGTGTATATAGGGGCAAGAGAATAGGAGTTATATTCTAAGCTACGTATTAAATTTCCTTAATGATTATTGGTCTATTCAGATTTGCCATTTTTTTCTTGAATCCCTTTTCTAAGGTGTATTTTTTCTAAGACATTGTCTGGGTTGACTTCTTTATTTCTTTATGCAGGCTGGTGATAAAAACTTAAAAAAAAAATCTAGGTTCCTAACTGACTTTGAAAAACACCTTGTATTATTTTTTGACCCTCTAGCAATTTGTGTTCTCACCTAATAGTTATGCTGTCTGGACCATATTTTCTAAATTTATGGCCTCCTACAGCCGAATCACGCAACCTTCCTGGAGCCAAGATAAATGAGGATTATCTCCTTTTTCTTGATCTTCCTGGGACTCTGATCCTAATAGATCAGGTTGGTGTGACAGTGTTTATTCTTCACGAAGACCTGCTGGCGGCCATCAGTAAGGGGCTTGCAAGTATTTTTCTTTCAATGATTTTTAAATGTGTAGACATTTACTGTACAGAATTTATACTCTATATTGCTGTAGTTCTTGGAGGCTTTTACTGTGAATATCATCCGGAGAGCTTTTAAAGAACAAATTTTAGAAACAGTAATAGATACAAAATAGATACACAATAGAACAGATTTCTTACAGGGGCATGTTGTCCTTAAGAAGACATGGTGGAATTTGGATCCAGAGTAATTTATACTCCATGCCATGTGTTTTCCTATCTCCCAGTCATAAATTAAAATACACTGTAAATTTGTCACCGGTAAGAAGCACTTATGGATGCCTCTGATGATATTCCAAAGCAATTGGCAGAAGATTGCCAGTTGCCATCAGATACGAATTAAAAGATTATTATCAAATGTGATGGGAGGGGAGGATCATCTCAGTGGGTTTTTTTGTCCTATCCTGGGCATTCCAGAAGGAAGGAGATACAGCAGCTGCTGCTCTTTTATGATGGATTTGTATGGCCTTCAGTATGTGTGTGTGTATTCAAGAGTTTCCCAATTGGTAACTACTGACAGCCAGTTATCTTGAAAGAATTAATTTGCAGGTAGCCAAACTACAGCCTAAGGGCCACAGCCAGCCCACAGCCAACTTTTGCAGATTAAGTTTTATTGGAACAAAGCCATGCTCTTGTACTAGAAATGCAGAGTTGAGTAATTTTAATAGAGACTGGCTCCCAAAACTGAAATTATGTACTCTCTTGCCCCTTATAGAAAAGCTCGCTGGCCCCTGAATTACATCGTAAGTCCCAAGAAAGCCAAGGAATAGCTTATTCTGGGGCAAGCACTATTAAATTGGGGTTCACAGTTAGGTATCGGGGCTCTATCATTCCAAGAGACAATTTGTATTATTTATTGTATGTGTGCATTTTACTGGTTAGAGGGTCCCATGGCTTTCGTCAGATTCTCAAGAAGGTTCTTGTGACCCAAAATGCGTTAAGAACTAAAGCTCTAGATAAATACTGCTTATTTGTTCCCTTGAAGGCTTGTGGAATGGGACAGAAGGAAAGACAGTTCAAAAACCTGACCCAAAGGTTTTTTGAGAGGATGAAAAAATTGGTAAATACTGTTGGCTCAGGGAATTTTTTTTGTGTATGAATGCATTTTATATAACTCTTCAGTTATTTTAAATCATTTATTCTTACTGATTGTATGCCCCATATTATTAGAACTGCTTAATTTGTCTTTCTTTGCCTGGTTTATTTCACTTAACATCATGTCCTCCAGGTTCATCCATGTTGCAGCAAATGACGGGATTTCATTCTTTTTTATGGCTGAATAGTATTCCATTGTGTATACGTACCACAATTTCTTTATCTGTTCATCCACTGATAGATGCTTAGGTTGATTCCATATCTTGGCTATTGTGAACAGTGCCACAATAAACAGGAATCAGATATCTCTTCTACATACTGATTTCATTCCCCTTGGTTTATATACTCAACAGTGGAATCGCTGGATCGAATGCCATTTATAAATTGAGAAAAATTTTAAATTCTTGCTGCACTTGGAACCTTAATGCTTGAGGTTCTTTCCCAGCAGGGAGATCACGCAGCTCTTCCCTCTGGAATCAGACCACTTCCGTACAGTAGCGTGCGGGGCCCTGTCCTCAAGGAACTCATGGATTTTCGTAAGTCTTGGGAAACTTTTCCTCTTTCCTATGGTCTTCCTCAAAGTCATCCTTTTCTTTCCCCTCCTTATCTCAGATACCTACTTTTGATTTAGCAACAAGCTCAGACTTTTGGAAAAGATGGAAAAAGGTGTTGTCCTCAAGTTGCTAAATTTGAATTTCTAAATACACTCTCCTGTGGCAGTCTTATTTGCAAAGAGAAGCCGTTCAGTTCTTTAAGGAGAGGAGTGATGGATCGAAGTATTATTTTAAGAAATGGGACATTCTGTGTGTTTGCTGCAAACTTAGAATTAAGACTTGACCGTCTCACAACAAAGCAGATTTGGACTGCCTGATGAGGGGCAGGGACTCCCAGAGATCCTGCTACGTGTTGCTGGAATAAATGGACTGATTTGCAAATTAAAACAGGTAGAACAAACTAGGTAATAAATATCCAACCTTAGGCCTGTTGAGGATTTTATTAGGCACCAGAGATTGTAAAAGCAAAGGAGTAACCCAGGGGAGCGAGCATATTTTGTACTCAATTCCAATCAACAGTCTGTTCTTAATCTTCAGGTTAGCCAAAATTTACATATATGGTGAATACTGAAATTATTATGAAATAAAGTTTACTCAGGTTATATGAGAATAATTGCAAATACACAAAGAGTCAAAATTCACCTTCGATAGTAAATCGCAAACAAAACCAAAAATGAATGGGCTTTCTTCCCACCCCCTGCCTTATACCTTTGGTGACTTTTGCACATGAGCAAAATACATGAAAATAGTAAAATTTAGCTTTTCTACTATAAAATCACTAATTTATTACATCATTCTTTGAAGACTAGTAACTAGTATATTTCTTTGTGATACTAGTGTTCACAGCCCTAGTGTTTTTTCCAAGTGTTTTCCTAGGAAGGGAATACTGCTTTCTGGATGTACAAATCATTACACAATGCTCAATCTATCATTGTGGATCGAATTGTTTTTGGTCTTTTTATATCACTGCTCTTGAAGGACGAAAGGTCCTGGCCACGACGACTGTGCTTCTTGAAGTGGGGAGCAGCCCTGCTGGGCGACCTTTTGTGAAATCCCGCGAATGGCAGCTGCCTGATGCCAGCTGTGCTCCTTTACGCAGTGACATTTGAGCCGCTGGGGTCTTCATCTTGCAGCATCTCAAAGCCAACTATTCAGCCGGCTTTTCAGCCGCGTTAACGATGATCACTCTTTTTGCTTACTGAATTTACAGAATGAATCTTGGCATTTTCCATTACGCGAGTGTGCAAAAAGACAAGCTTTGTGCAAGCGTTGACTCAGGCCCACAGCCCTGGTAGTGACAGAGGTCCTGTAACTACACAGCCGGCTCCCTGGAGGGAAGATACACATATGTTGAATGGTTTATGAATCCTGTTAATCACCAAAATCAAATTCTGAATTATCTATGCTAAACGAAGGGAGCAATTTATAGCGAATCCGAAATGCCTTTTGTATTCGACTTGGATCCTTGCTTACAACTTACTATGAATAATACAACGGAGAGGAGGCAACACAAAAGCACGTAATCCTTACAGCTGGAATTTAATAAAAGCATGCAGAATGCAAACTTGTTGGCAAC